GTAGCTTCCTTTTAACAAATGGTTTTCTTTGCAGTCGTGCTGATAATTCTCTGTTTATTTTTCGTCATAACACTAGCATCATTTATTTACTTTTATATGTGGATGACATTATAGTTACTGGCAATTCCTCCTCACTCATTCAGAAATTTATCTCTCTTTTGGGAAATTATTTTGCAATGAAGGATCTTGGTGATCTTCATTTTTTCTTGGGGGTTCAGGCTGTGCGTACTTCATCAGGTTTATTCTTATCTCAAGCCAAATATGTGTCTGATCTTCTAGCCAGATTTCATCTTCATACACTGAAACCCGTTCGCACACCGCTACCAAATAGGACTAAATTGTCTATCACTGATGGTGAGTTACTTTCTGATTCTACTGAGTACCGTAGCATGGTAGGTGCATTGTAGTATTTGACTATGACTAGACCTGATATTACATATGTTGTTCACTTGGTATCCCAATTTATGCATGCTCCTCGTACTTCACATATGTTTGCTGTTAAGAGAATTTTCAGGTACCTTCAGGGCACTATCACGCATGGACTTCAACTTCAGCCTTCCGCACGACCCACCTCTGTTGTTGCATACTCTGATGCTGATTGGGCTGGTTGTCCTGATAGCAGTCGATCTACCTCAGGTTATGCTATTTTTCTGGGTCCTAATTTGATTTCATGGCGTTCCAAGAAGCAACTCACTGTCTCCAGATCTTCTACAGAAGCTGAGTATAGAGCTATTGCCTACACAGTGCAAGATACATTACACATTCGGTCCATACTTTTCGAACTTGGGTTTCCTATACATCGTCCGGTTCGGCTTCTATGTGATAATATTTCTGCATCTTATTTATCTGCTAATCCCATCCAACATGCTCGCAGCAAGCACATTGACATTGACTATCATTTTGTTCGCGAACGTGTGGCTCATGGTGATCTTCTGGTGCAGTATGTTCCTACGAAGTTTCAGTTGGCTGATATTTTTACAAAAAGCTTGGCTCCTCAGCAGTTTTTATTTCTTCGAGACAATCTACGCGTAGTTCCTCCTGCATAGCTTGAGGGGGTGTAATAGTGTAGAATTAATTAAGCATTAATTATTAGGTAGTTTCCTAATTGTACTCAGATACTTATTTCTTATATATACACTGTCAGGGCTATCAGTCTAGGTAAGCCTGTTATTATTTCTCACATAATTTGAATAATAGTGTTAATATGATCATGTGATATTCCTTTAAAAGTTGGTTCTTCATCTCTACACACATAAACATAATTAAACACTGGATGATTGAAAGGTATGTATCCGAATTTGATTCGTAAATATTTTATTCAACTTTTTATTTCTGAAACTAAAAAAATTATTAACACAAGTAAATCTTAATATTTATGCAAATTCTTAAAGAAAATTCTAATGTATATTTTTAATAGAAAATATTAAACACCCATTATTATGCGATCCATTAACTCATGTGTTAATTGTAGTGTATTGGAGAGGACTGCAATACTATATAATTCAATGGAATGGAAAAGTGACAATATACTGTCATACTATCCTCCTTATCGCATTAGTTGCAACATTGGAATATATAAATTTTCATCCTCCTTATCGCATTAGTTGCAACATTGGAATATATAAATTTTCATGTACTTTACTTTGACTACATTTTATTTATTAATGTATGTGAATTATTTTTTTTAAAAAAATATTGTTAAATTCGTCTCATTACTAAGTTTTATAATCTGATTTTTATTTTATTTTTACTAATACGGAATTAAATATAATGACGGTCAAAGTTGTGCGTTGACAAACGTGAAAAAGGGAATGTTGCAACTAAAAAGATATATAATTTGTTGAAAGATACAAGGACAGAAACATCAATGTGGTTGCAGGAGTTGAAGCAAGGGGCTTTATTTTTTATCCCCCTATCATCAACCTGCATTATCACACATGTAATGGATTCTAAAAAAACAGCCTCAAGACATAATCTAAAGCACCCAATTGCAATATCAAAGGCCAGAGAAGAACAGTCCCAACACATTTACAAAGCACGATCAAAATCAATCTTCCTTGCACTCTTGAAGCAAAAATAGTCACTCAAAAACCTTTAAATCTGTCAAGCACTTTTGCACCTGTGTTCCTAGTTGTGCTAGGATTTCTGGGCACATGTGTACCGCACGGTGGGCTTCTCGTATATTGATGTCGAGGTTGTACAAAAGATCAATGGCGGATTTGAATTGGAGAAATGAGGCAGAGAGAATCATAAGATGGGAAGAGAAGATCACCGGAACAAGAAGCGTTGTTTAACCCCCCAAAATCTCACGGTGAATTGAAAGGAAAGTAGCGACGTTTGGTGTTTTGGGATTTCGAAATTTTGCAGAAAGAGCAAGAGGAACATGTGATTAAAAAGCTGTGGATTTTGTTTAGCAAGAACACGAGATTGGAGAGGAGGTTCAAGCAGAGTAGATAAGAATACGGTTCTGAAATGTCTAGAATAAATATGGATATTTTCAGAGAGAACCGCCGAACTCATGCCTCTTTTAATACGGACACCCGGCCCAACTAAGAAAAGACAGTCCAATAACTGATACAGGTCAAAAATAATTCGGTGTCATTTTTGTAATTTAAGCGAAAAATCATGGCTTCTGCTAAATGAGCAATATTATACTTTTAGTGAGCATATGACCTATTTTATTGAGTATTAAAAGGCTAACAATGAGTATCATGATATGTACTTCATATCTTCTAACTCTTTTTCTTTTTCTTATTTTTTCTTTTATAAAAACTTATTGAATTATATCTATAATCCACTTCTATTAACTTCAATATGTGAATCTAATGTAGTATTGTACTTTTCAAATATGCATTGATATGACATTTTAAAAATGAGTATAACGTGATTACCAATTGAGCATACATGACTTACAAAATGAGCATTAATATGAAAATCATAAGTCTTTTCACTTGAGCATCAAAACATTTTCATTGAACATTAAACTTTATTTATTGAGTATTAGAAACTTGCAATTGAGTATGGTGATTTGTACTCATACGTGAATGATATTTTAAAATGAGCATAACACCAATATCAAATGAGCATACGTACCTTACAAAATGAGTATCGATAAAAAATGAAAACACATTTAAAATCTCTATTTTGCTCAAATATTAATTTGTGTATGCTCATGTAATTATAATAAGAAGCCCATTAATGTATAGTCTGTACATAAAAATCCAAAGTCCAAAGATCTTCGGTGCTTCAATGACGTAGCAATTGGAAGCTAACGTCTAGCGGCGCAATCGGAAACCAATGTTTAAGCTAACGTTTGGAAAACGTTTGGAAATCAATTTACAAACCAATCCAAAGACCAAAAAATTCCGATAGCGTAGCAATCGGAAACCAACGTCTAGCGGCGCAGTGCGGAAGCTAGAAGAAGTTCGAATGAGAGAACAGCGGATGATGATGCCAGATGAGGACGGTGAGGGATTAAGGTCGCAACGCGTTGTTCAGAGATGGAGCATCGGCGGAAAAAAAAAGGAAGAGTGGAGCATTAGCCTATTAATTACCCTGAAACTTGCTATTAATTTAAAAAAAAAAATCGGATGTACATGTACACCCGGGTGTAGGATATAATTCCTGTCTTTTTATTGCTTTGATAATTTCATTAATTTGTTGCCACGTGGATTTACGTGCACATTAGGGGCTTATTAAAATTTCTACCCTAGGGTCAGAGTATTATGAGTCACATATTTCTCTGTGGTAGGAAAAGCAGAGGCTCATGCTTTGTAACCACACATCCTCTTTCTTCAAGGGGAACAAAAAAACAAAAACAAAAAACAAGGAATTTCAGGCAGAACGAGGAATAATTAATTCTTTTGATTTGGTTTAATAATCCTCTTCTCAACTTTGCATCTGCCATCTCTTTCCCTGGTTAAGAGCTAATTTTGTATCACCAAATTTCCGGGAAAAAACATATGGAGTTGGCAGTAGAGAAACACGAGAAGATCCAAATTTTCTCAAGCTGCTTTATGACTTCTCCATTTTGTTTTCTGTAATTTTTGCTATGATATTATATACCCTTTTCTTATGATTTGAGAATAATTAGCCTTATTTGGGACTTTTTATGTTTGCCTATTTGATCATTTATATGTTGATTTTATCTGGGATTTTATTTATATATTGGAATTGAAAATTTGTTGTTCATTATCATTGTTCTATTTAATGGATACTTATTCAAAACAAAAGAGAATAAGATAATTTTTTCCCAAATATTTAAGCAATAGAAGCATAGGACAATTATAGTTCTAGAGAAACACTCTAAAAGTCTAAAGGAACTTTCCTACCAAAAAATGCTGATTTTTTTACGGTTATTGCAATGCAGCATTTGATGAAATCATTAATTTAGAGTATAAAATCAATTAAATTGTTCTATTTTTGTATGCCAATCTCATTTCATAATCTATCAACTTGATTAGTTTCTTCCTGCATTGGACTCCTTGATATGTATGTATGTGACAATATCCACCCTTTCCTAGATGAAGAAAACAACACAATGATCAATAATAGTTATCTCTAATTTGCTTCTTTGTTTTTTCCAAAAACAATCTAGTTTTAGTTTAACTTGCTTATTCAAACACTCTCTGGTTTTATTGAAATCAGGTACTTTCTTTAACTTTGGTCACCTCAACTTTTAGTTGGATGGAGGAAGTAGACAATTCAAAAGGAAACAATCCTTCAGAGTCATTACTTGTTACTGAAGTCGCATTGTCAAAGGATGAAGATCAAATGAAGAGTTTATTTGAAACCGAAAAAAATATCAAATTACATTCGGAATACGGAACACAAGCTTCATATGCTGACAGCTCCATATCATATCAACCAAGAGAAGACCAGAGTGGATTATCCATATCAGAAGGAAATTTAACTTTGATGTCTCCATCATCTACATCACATGTGAGACCAGCTGAAACATTAGAACCATTTAAAGATACATCACCTTTAGTATTGGTCGATTCAGAGAGGCCAATGCTTGAAGAGGAAAAGCCAAAAGAATATGATGCAGTACTGCTGAATCCCTCTATGGATCTACTTGGAGATAATACAGTTTCTCCTAACAAAGACAACACAAGTAAACATTATTTCACTCTCCCCTCTGAAGTGAGGGTATCTGATGAAAATTTGAATCTATTAGTGCAACCTGATTTTGGTGGCCATCTCCAAGATGATGTTTCCAATAATATAGTGTCACTAAATGACCATGATGAACCCCAAGACAAGGTTTCCAGTAATCATCCCCTAGACAAGGTCTCTGGTGATCATTCCCTAGACAAGGTTTCTATTGATCAGCCCTTAGATAAGGTTTCCAATCATCTAGTGACACCAGATAGCATTGATCAGCCTGTAGCAAAAGTTTCAAATTTATCATTAACGTCAGGTGACATCGGCCAACAAATATCAGAAGTTCCCATTCAATCAGTATCATTAGATGACATTGCTCAACCATTAACCAAAGTTTCCACTCTTTTACTGGCATCGGATGATGATGCTAGTCGACGCCTAGCCAAAATCTCCACCTTCACGGCTAAACCGTCAGCCTCTTTCCCGTCTAAACACTCAGAGAATGGTGGGATAAGCAGAGTTCAGATTGACACCGCAATGCCCATTGAATCTGTGAAACATGCTGTTTCTAAATTCGGAGGAATTGTTGATTGGAAGGCTCATCGAGAACAGACTGTGGAGGTATAGTGATCTCTCAAAAGATCTAGTTATTTATCTGTACATGTTGATTCTATAACATTTTTTCTTATTATAAACAGAACATTTTCTAAAATTATGTGAATTATTGATTATACAGAGGCGGAAGTGTATTGACCAGGAGCTAGAGAAGCTGCAGGAGGAAATTCCGATATTCAAACAACAGTATGAATCTTCTGAAGAAGCAAAAGTCCAAGCCCTAAAGGAGTTAGACAGCACCAGAAGGCTTATAGAAGAATTGAAGCTTAACTTAGAGAGAGCGAAAACAGAAGAACAACAAGCTAGACAAGATTCTGAACTTGCGAAACTGAGAGTCGAAGAGATGGAACAAGGAATTGCGGATGAGGCTAGCATAGCAACCAAAGCCCAACTCGAGGTCGCTAAAGCCCGCCATGCATCCGCAGTGTATGAACTTCAATCCGTGAGGTCTGAACTAGAACAACTCCGTGAGGACTACACAGTTTTGGTTTCTGAGAGAGACGCGGCGGTGAAGAAGGCGGAGGGAGCCATTTCTGAATCGAAAGAAGTTGAGAAGTTGGTTGAGGACCTGACAGTCGAATTAATAACAATGAAGCAATCTCTGGAGGCGGCACATGCTGCACATCTAGAGGCGGAGGATCACAGAATTGGAGCGGATTTGGACAGAGAGCGAGACACTCTTTACTGGGAGGAAGAAGTTAAGAACGCTGAAGTTGAAATTGAGAGGTTAAACCAACAGATCCTTTCTGCAAAGGATCTCAAATCGGAACTAGACACTTCTTTGTCTTTGTTACATGACTTGAAAGCAGAACTTGCTGCATATATGGAAACAAAACCTCAACAGCAGGAAACCGATGGGAAAAGAACTCATTGTGAAATACAAGCAGCGGTGGAGTCGACCAGAAGGGAGATCGAAGAAGTGAACTTTCAAGTGGAGAAGGTAGCTACTGAAGTGAATTTATTGAAAGTGACCACCACATCCTTAAAGTCAGAACTGGAAAAAGAAAAAGCGGAAATTGTCACTGCTCAACAAAGAGAAGAAATGGCATCCATATCTGCCGCATCTATTGAAGCAGAGTTGAATAGAACAAAATCAGCAATTTCCCAAGCACTTATAAAAGAGAAAGAAGCAAAAGAAAAGATGGTGGAGCATACAAAGCAGTTGCAGGTGGTTTCTCAAGATGCAGAACGGGCAAAGTCTCTTGCTGAAGCAACACATGCAGTGCTATGCAGAGCAAAGGAAGAAGCAGATCAGGCAAAGGCAGGGCAGAACACAATAGAGAGCCAATTACTTTCAGTTCATAAAGAGATAGAATCTGCAAAGGCTTCAGAGAAATTGGCATTGGCAGCTATGGATGTACTGGAAGAGAGTGAATCGGCTCGGAAAAACAATGAAGGGGATTCACCAACCGGAGTAAAAATTTCCTTAGAAGAGTATTATGAGTTAAGCAAACAGGCACATGCAGCAGAAGATGAAGCAAACACAAGGGTAACTGCTGCTATTTCTCAAATCGATGTTGCCAAAGAGTCAGAATTCAAGAGCATGAAGAAGCTTGAGGACGTAAATCACGAGCTTGATGAAAAACGAAAAGTTTTAGAAGCTGCATTGCGCAAAGCCGAGGAAGCCAAGGAAGGTAAGCTTTCCGTGGAACAGGAGTTGAGGAAATGGAGGGAAGTGCATGAGGAAAGAAGGAAAACCAGTGAATCTATTAACCAAAATAATAATAGCCCGAGATTTAGCATTGAAGATAGAACAGAATTGGAGACATCATCTACTCTTCATCATAGGTCCCCTAAAGGAGGAATAAATGAAAGCAATCATGAAGATTCGCTTGTGCAGGAGAGCGGTGTAGACAATGAGCCATCTTCTGAAGTGACGAAGTCAACAAAGAAAAAAAGAAGGTCCTTCTTCCCTCGGATCTTCATGTTCTTGGCTAGAAAGAAAACTTCCAAGACAACATAATGGTCTTTATGCAAACTCACCTTATACTCCTCTTTTATTGGATGTTGATAGGTTCAGTGCATACGTATATGTAATTTTCACAGTAATTAGAGTGTACTTTTGGATAATTGTTTTGTGTACATATCTATATATATAGCATTGATATTGTTTCTTTTCAATGCGTATTTGAAACCCTTTTTTTAGTTGTCAAATATAAGCCATAGTCAATTTGAGTTTGAATATCAAGTGTATTTTTGCACTAACAGAACTAAAATAATTTACTGAAAAAGCATACGTAGTAGTTTGCACTAACAATATAGACTTACTATTGTTTCTTATTTATATAAAATAAATTCCGTTAAAAGTGGTTTTTTTATAACTATGACTTGCTACTGTGTAATATATATTGTGGATGCAACCGTTTCAATACATCTATAATATACTTGTAGATTTTAGTATTTTACAGGTGAGCGTTCTCCCAGTTTTATTACTTTCATAGTACGCAATTATATTTTAGTTTTTGACTTTTCATTATTATTCTCACGTAGCTTTCAAAAAAAATATTATACTCACGTGCAATAGACAAAGTGCATACTCTTAGCTCCAATCTCTTGATCCACCACAGTATTTGCGATTCATTCAGTCTCCCAGAATCTACTTAAAACAGGTAAGTAAAAGTGCACAATGAAACAAATAATAAAGTTGAATCTCAAAGGAAATAAGCTAGATTGGTATATACTACTTGTACGTATTAGTGTATTACTACATATTACTCAGGAAGTTTCAGATAAAAGTTGCATGAAGAAGTTGAAAAATAACATTTGTAAATACTACGTATTACTACCTAGCTTATTAAATAATTGTTCAAGGCGAGAGACACATGCATATTTAAAAAATCATATATGATTGATTACATACACATAATACAGTAAGTGCCATAATTAAGGCTTCCTCAATCGTTCTAATAGTCTATAAAGAAATCGGTTTCCAGCAGTTTCAGTACAAACAGATGCTACTAGTGACTGCCAAACAGGAGCTTCTGGTAACTTAGCTTGACTAACCATCTCCTCTAAAAACATGATTGCTTGATGTGAATTAGTATCTACCAAGCAAAGACCGTGGATAACAGCATTAAAAGTTTCAACTCGAGGCCAATAAGAATTATTCAACATTCTCTCCAGCACAAGACTTGCTTCTGTGTATCTACCTTCATGACATAGTCCATCAGCTAAATTCTCATAAGTGTCCTTGTTGGCAACACAGCATAGCTGCGTTTGAATTTTCTCAAAATACTTGATGGCTAAATCCGGTTTTTTTTCATCACAGAGTCCTTTTATAAGAGTATTATACAACTTAACATTAGGAAGACAATTGCTACCTACCATGTCTTGGTCAACAACCTCCATGGCCTCGTTAACCCGATGTTGTCTAAACAATGCCAGCAATTTGGCCTCATATATCTCCAACGATGGTCTAAACCCTTTCTTAAACATTTCATTCAACACTTTGTTACCTTCATCAATCTTGTCTCCGAAGTAATAATCAATTGCCAGTTCCCTGTAACTCTTATGACTCGGAATTATGCCCGTGATTAAAGCTTCATTAATAAATGAATTCAAACGGTAACTATCTGATTCATAGTGGCATTGAATTTGCCTTCGGTGTCTCTTAGGAGACTTAAGCCCTTTATGCAATACCTTTGAAAGAACCTGAAGTGCCTCATCAAAATTCCCATTATCACACAGCGCTTCCAAAAGTGTTCTATATACTACAACATCTTCACCGCTGCCCTTTGATGAAACCCTCCAGAACATTGAATACAATAGATGAATAGCCTCGTCAAACCGCTTTTCTTGACACAGGCCGCTCATCAAAATCCTATAACTTTCCTTGTCTGCACAGCAGCAGGTTTGATGGCTCATCTCTTGGAAAATATGACAGGCAAGATCGGATCTTTTCATTTGACAAAGGGCATCCATTAGTAAATTCAAAGAAAAAGTCCGAGACTTCACTTCCCATCGGCTTGAATTCTCAAGAAAGATGTGATATGTGTGATCAAGCTTAGACTCTTTCACAAGTATTTCCAACATAGTATTAAAAGATCGAGTCCAATTAACGCAGTTGAACTGTGGAAGGCTTTTGAAAAGCAAAACCGCCTCATTGATTAATTTTTCTTTTGCATAGGTCTTGATTGCACTCACAAAGACTGAGTCATGGCACTGGCATGAATCATCCTTCATCTGGTTAATAACATGTTTCATCTCAGTCAGCTGACCATTGCTTCCTAGAATGTTTATCATGGCTTCGTAAACAGGACCATTATGATTGTATTTTGGATATCTATGCTTCACTTCATTAAAGATTTCAAGGGCTTTTAGTGGGTTCTTCTGTTCACGAATAATCTGTGAGAGTTGGGTAGGTGTTAGCATCCTCGGCCATCTAATTACCATGTCAGAAACAGCAGAAACTCTGAAACAAGCCAGAAAAGTAATAGAAAATAAGCAAACATATCAACCAACACTCAGTAAGCAGTTTTTATTACAAAAGTTGCTCTGCAGTATAAAATGTACATGTATCAACATTTTTTATTCATTTGGACTATTGGGGGAAAGCAAAATACCAAATGCAACAAATAAAGGAAGATAATTAATGGATGAACCAAAAAATGTCAATAGCAATAGGGACAAAGGGTAATATATTGTCAGATTCTCCAAGACCATACTGTAACTGTTTATATTTAGACAGCATGCTAATTAATATAAAAAATGTTCAAAATATTTTATAACTTTAAAGTTTGATAACAGTAAAAGAAACATTACATGAAAACCCATCAACTTCCATATCTTTTAAGACATTGGCTACATTGTATGCAAAAAGTAGGAAAACTTAATGTACAGCATACACACACATATACATATTTATTCATTTATTTATACACACACACATATACTCCATCATTTCCAATGGAGCCAAAGGCTCACTATTTTTTGGCTTGGGAATATGATGGAATAAAGAAAATGGCTCACTAAACTTTGTTATGAAGCAACGGTCAGTCCATGCAATTTTCGACGCGATTTTCATCATGGGTCATCCGGAAACCGTCTCTTTGTGTTTTAGTATAAGAGTAAGACTGTGTACATCCGACCTCCCCTTACGTGGGAGCCTTTGCGTCACTGGGGAAATGTTGCATTTATACACACATTTAACTAGCTCTATAAATGTGTATTTTGCAAAATCTGGTGTTCCATATAAAAAGGTAGTGATACCTGTAGTGTTATATTGTTTGAGTAATTAGCTCAATCCTCTCCCACGATACACATTCAGGTTGAACTTTGAGATAGAATCTTTTCAAATGCATTTTAGATTGTTTACTAATATTTAAAAGAGATTTTAGTATTAAGGACTATGTGTACAAAACCGAGGCTACAAGTCTACAACATGTTGATCATAATAATCAAGGTGAATGATTTTTTTTTAAATCGGTTCAGCAGTACTAAGAACCCACTTGATCAGGTTTGAAATGCTTTAAGTGGCTAAAATTACTTAAACTGTTGAAGTTATGAGTTGTGTGACAGAAATAAATGAGTTGGCTAAATATGTTGAATAAATTAAAAAATTATTAATAAAATAAAGAACAATATATATGGGGGGAAATTCTAAAATGATTCAACAACTTCTGCCATTCAGCTAAAAAGTGTCTTCACTCTTACTTCTCTCATTATTAACCAGTTAGTGTGATGCCAAAGAGTTAGTGTCAAAAAATATGGGTGATAATGCTGACAATTAGATCTGTCAACGGGTCAGGTACGGGCCGGAACATAGTATCCCAGACCCGGACCCGTTAACCTCTATAGGGTTCCAAACCCGACCCATATACCCGACGGGTCTAGAACTAATGTTTCGGACCCATATCCATTGGGTCTCGGAACCGGGTCGGGTAGACTCAACCCGTCTCACGAAAATCCAATTTTAATTTCTTAAATAAAAAACATGACCTCTTACTACTGAGTACTTTTCTGGCAACAATATGGCACATGAACTGTAATTACTTGTCTGTAATTACTCAACCAAACATAAGAATTGTGAGTTGGTTTATAATTTGCAAGACATGTAGTGTTACAATAAAGAGTAAAATTAATGGCTTTGAAAACTGAACATGCTTTTTCTTGAATCCTCTGCGGTCTGCGGACTCTAGGGTATCTAAGAATCCTTCTTCGGATTTATTAAACTAAATCGTAATGTGGACGGTAACTAATGTAATATGTATGTTAGACTAATGTGTATATATATATATGTGTGTGTGTGTGTGTGTGTATATATATGTATATATATATATATATATATATTAACGGGTCGGATCCTAAACGGGTCGGAACTACATATACCATACCCGACCCATTAAATAACGGGTCCGGATCCAGATCCGGGTAATGGAATTAAATGTAGACCCATACCCATTAAAAAAAGACGAATCCGGGTCGGGTTTGGGTCTGGACCCGACCCATTGACAGGCCTACTGACAATCATGTTGTTCTTCAGATAATCAGATTGATAAAAGAATGGTACAATGAAGAAACATTCATTCAAAATCTCACTGGGGCATTTTCACAAACATATTATAGGCACGTCTAAACAAAAACATAATTGAGTAAAGTTTATCTTCTTTTATCTGAAATTAGAATGAAATAAACAACCTCTAAATCAATAAAACCATACAACAATTGACAATAATGACAAATTACCTACTGTGAGAGCTGATTGTTGTTCCTTTTAGCAGGTTAATGCAAAGCAGGAGAAGTCTCCAGAATTGGTGGGTCGTCGACGGTTAAAGAGGAGCAGCGCTGCGCCGTCAGGTGCTAACGAAGAGTAGCGGTGCGTCGTTCAGTGTAAAAGAAGAGTAGTGGTGCGGCGTCGAGTGCTCACCCATAGCAGCGGTGCGTCGTCTACTCTTCGTTTTCTGGAACAGTAGACGACTCATGGATTGTCCAAAAAGCGTTTGCACACTTTTACAACAAGAATGGTTGTGGATAGGGCGTGGAACAATAGAGAAATTTCAGTAACTCATTTGGATATCTAAAAATATACTCCGTAGATTTATGGAAGATATGGTATGGGTATATGTTTGGAAAATAAAATGGATAATATGAGGGAAGATAATCCGGGTTGTTCATTTGCAACAAATGAAGCGTGATCTGTCTACAGTGCATATTATTAGATGTAGGCTGCGATGTACAAAATCATATAATAAATTACCACTACGTCGCATCCGTTATTCTCAGGGTTACTATAGTAAAATTTCAAAACAAATTCCAAGCCTCGCTTCTTATATTAGGAAATAGTAAATTACACAATCCCTGATTCTACGCTAACCATCTAATGATGCAATTAACCGTCCAAGCATAAGGAATCTAAAAAGGGTAAGCTGTAGAATCCATTCTTAGTGGAAGTTGATCGTAAAGATACTTGTAGACTAGTGCAAGGCTTTTAGAATAAAACTTCTTGTGAAGAATCAAGACCCAATATTAGTATAGACAATGACTTTTCAAGAAGAAAATTATATGAAGAGGGAAAATCGCAGGAAACTTGAGGATGATGACGGATGAAATTCGTTTCAAACTTGATAAAGTGCATGTGTGTGCTTTAAGAGTGCTATGCAATGTTGAGGCTTATTTAAGCATTTGTGAAAAAGATGCAATAGAGTGTGTAATTCAATTTGTGTTTTTTTAGATATTAAGTTAGTAATGAGATGCATGTGAAGGCATTGTATGATGCAATAACTTGTTATATGAGGTGCATGTTGTAGGGTAGTAGTAATGGCTACCACAAATGTTGAAATCATTGAGCTGCTTGAAAAATAGTTCACTGTAAAGATGTCATATGTGTACTATGTTGTTGGTATAGTACATTTATAAGGTACATGATGCATGATTGTATGATAGTAGATGCATTTACACCCAAAATATGCACTTGTGTTAGTGAGGATGATATATGCATAAAGATTGCTTAAAGGATGCAAGTATAATGTAATTACAATGCATCCTTAAGAAAGCATTAATGAATGTGTGTGAGTCCATATTTTTTGCATACTATAACATGAATATACATTTTACATGTTTCTGTGAAAGAAGTTTGGTGCAGCAGTTGTAGTTGCAATAAGCATTGGTGGAAACAAATGGTAGTTTGAATTTTTAGTAATTGTTAATGTGATGAGAAAAGCTAAACCCTTACATGTACATCTATGTAATAGAAAATGCAGGAAAACAACAAGTGCACCTGTAAGATGAAGTTGTTCTAGGGAGGAAAGTAGATGCATGACTATTAGGTATAAGATGCAGTAGTTAAAGCTAATAGATGCGGGTTTTTGAATTAATTTTAGTTGTTTTTGTGATGAAAGTTTTAATGAATTTTACTTATGTTGAAGTGCCTGGTCTTTCATGAAGTACATTTGTAAGGTACATGATACATGATTGTATGATAGCAGATGCATTTACAACCAAAATATGCACTTGTGTTAGTGATGATGATATATGCATAAAGATTGCTTAAAAGATGCAAGTATAATGTAATTGCAATGCATCCTTATTAAAGCATTAAAGAATGTGTGTGAGTCTATTTTTTTGCATAGTGTAACATGAATGTATATTTTACATGTTTTTTTGAAAGAAGTTTATTGCAGCAATTGTAGTTGCAATAAGCATTGATGGAAATAAATGGTAGATTGAATTTTTAGTAATTGTTAATGTGATGAGAAAAGCTAAGCCCTGACATATACATTTATGTAATAGAAAATGTAGAAGAGAAACATGTGTTTGGAGGAAAAAGAAAACAAGAAGGTGCATCAAATAGTAAGATGCAACAGAACAAAAAGAAAAAAGAGATGAGGAAAACGTCAAAAGGTTACACACTTGCACTGTTCTACATTTAAGATGCATTTGATATTCTGTAAATGTAATTTGAAATGGTGTCATTAAAAGTGGAGCAGATGGGCCTTTGGTGAAACAGGTTTGAGGCAGGATGCATATGCAGCGTGATGAAGTGTAGAGACCTGAAGTGAGGAGCAAAGGCATGAAGTTTTATGTGTTATGCAGACTTAACAGGGCTTTACATTTAATCCTAATAGATACTCGTTTCCTACTTGTCGAGCAATCTTCAGAACCAGCAACTTCAATCCTATTAGATACTTGTTTCCTATTTTTCGAGCAATCTTCAGAACCAGCAACTTCAATACTATTAGATACTTGTTTTCTATTTTTCGAGCAATCTTCAGAACCAACAACTTTGGTATCTAAAACAGGACATGCATTATTCTTAAAACCAGCTCTATTACATAGTAACATATAATATACTTCATCACTATGTGATCAACTCTGCCTTTCTTTGATGTATGATGACGAATAGCAAACCCCATTGCAGCCGCATATTCCTTGTGAAAACTAAAATCAGCATCTAGATTAGGAAATATCATGCCAGCAACTGATTTTTTTTCGACTGAACATTTTAGAATCCAATACTTTGAACCCCTACGAGAAATTTGAAGACCACAATTCACATCTATGTAAACAACAAACGATCTCTAGTATTAAACAAAAATGAAAACTAATATTAAACAACAATAAACATATAATTTCAGTTAATGCATCATACAACATAAACAGATGCATAATACATATTTCACCTTGCAGATACAACAGAAACAGATACATATACTGAATTGATGGTGTAGGTGCAGCAGGACAGTACAGAAGATGCATTGATGCTATGTAAAAGTGCAGTCGGATTGCAAGTAGGTTGTTTTGAAATTAATTATTTATATGATTATTGAATGCGAACTAGTTGTTAAATATTTTATTTAATACATGAATTCATTTTATGTGAGGCGATATATAGCTTAATGTTTATTTGTTATTAGACACATACATGAACATGGATTGGATGCAGTAGCAACTGTGAAATCGAGGAAGAGGATTGCAAGACATGCAACAGTGAAATCACCCTACTTAACTAGGGTTATTCATCCTATTGAAAGTAATTATGAAATTAATTCGTGAGAAGAAACATGATAACATTCATTAACAAGCCTACTATGTGAAGTGATGTAATGTTATCAAAAGCAATTACGAAAATCATTTGTGAGAATAAAAAGGATAACATCAGCCTCTAGTCTGAATCAATTAAAATAAAAATGCACAAGCATGACATAAGAGCAAATCACACAATCAACTTCTGAAGTTTTTTTTGGGTATGAAAACATAGTTCATCAAGATATATGAATACTTGATTCCATGACACAAAATAATAATGATGGAAGATGATTAAAGCAACAAGTAATAATCTCTACCAGAAAGAAAATCGCAGAGATGAATACCAGAGCGATCAGAAAATTGGAATGAAAGAAAAACTGGAAGTAGGCGGTTGAGAATGGAAAGTAACGAACATGATTTTTGTGCCTTTATAAAATTTAAGTGATTGACCAAATCACCCTCAATCCCAATTAAATGGTTGTGAGAAATCAAAATAGAAACGGACGGTAATCTTAATCAAACGAATGGATAGGATTAGTTTGTAGGTTAGTAAGTTAAGCCTAGTTTGTATTTGATCCCTAATCTTACCCCTTATTATTATTCAAATTGGACTTTGCACCCCGTTTTTAAAAATCTTTGTTTTTGTACCCAACCTTGTATGAAAAAACAAAAATGTTCTTCAATGGAAGAGCATTTTTATCTTTCCATACGGGGTTGGGGTGCAAAAACAAAGGTTTATAAAAATGGAGTGCAAAGTTCAATTTTGACAATAATATGGGATGCAAACTCAAATTACCGGTATACCGGTATACCACAACAACAACAACAACAACAACATCCAAGCCTTAGTCCCAAAAGATATTGGGGTCGACTTGTTGGTCCAAAATAGGACGCTCGTAGGCTTTTAGGAAAGCTACGTACGACACTCAAGCAAGAATTAGGAAAGTACGAATATGGAAAGTTAGCCAGAAATAGCATATCTGTATTTGAAATTCGAATTGCCTTTTATAGGCGATTACAAATGGTAACTGCCGAACATAATAATGACTAAATTAATTACAACATTAATACGGAATTAAACACATAATTAAGTAGCGCATTGATTGTTGGTCGTTACTCTTCCTGGCTGGCAGGCTGGACGCTTGAGCTCCCTCCTGCTGGACTGGACGGTGGGCTTCCCGCTAGGCTGGAGGAAGGCTTCTCACCGGGCTGGAGGCAGGCTCCCGGGTAGGCTGGAAGGCAGGCTCCCGAGTAGGCTGGAAGGCAGGCTCCCCGATGGGCTGGAGGCAGGCTCCCACCTGGGCTGGACCGCGGGCTCCCAGTTGGGCTGGATCGCAGGCTCCCAGCGGGCTGGTGGTCGGTAGGCTCCCGACTAGGCTGGAAGGCAGGCTCCCCACTGGGCTGGAAGGCAGGCTCTCTTGGGCTTCCGCTCCTTGATTGCCCTGGTTGGTTGGGCTAACTCGAGCTCTGGGTTGCTGGGCTTGGGCCCGCTGGTCCAAGTTCGGGGCCTGGGCCGATTAGGCTCTGGGCCTAGTCCCATAACCCCATCACGAGTCCCCCACTCCCTTAGTCGAGTAGTAGACTCGGCTAAGAGGGAGTAGTTTAAGTCAGCTGCCGATTTAAAAATATTCACATATCAGGGAGCCATAATTGTGGATTATGGGAATCCCAGAGTTTATGGAAATTCCCAAATTAAATCAGGCTCCCAAAAAAGGCTCCAAATAAATTCCTTCCTTTTCTTTTCTTTCCTTTTCTATTCTTTCCCTTTTTTTCCTTTCTTTTCTTTTCTTCCTTTCTTTTCTTTTCTTTCCTTTTCTTTTTCTTTCCTTTCTTTTCTTTTTCCTCTCTCTCCTGGAAACCGTGTGCGTCGTCCTCCTTGCGTCTTCCTAGCGCAGCGCCGCAGTCACTGCAATTGACCGACGCCTAAGCTGGCGGCCCTCCATCTGGCCGGACGCCCATGTTTGCAAAGCTCTGGCAGATCCCTGCGTCGATCTATAGTCAGCGCGGCGGCTCCCGAGGATAATGATGCCTTCCTTCGGGCGAAGGTCTGGCCGTTCCCCTAGGCGACAACGGCTTCCAGGCGCCGGTTCCAGACGACGACGGATTCCAGGCGGTGGATCCAGGCGGCGACAACTTCCAGGTGAAA